ACGTCAATATTTCCTATGAACCCCTCTACTTAATTATTATTTTTAAATATTTATCCAAAAGCTCTAACCTCTTATTATTAAGTTATTACACCACTAGCCATTACTCTATGCCCAGTCCACAGTGTCATCTTATTAACCAAAAGATGCATGATTTAGGTCATTACTCATAGATGATCCTTACAAAAAGTTACCTAAATAAATAGATGAACTCAATACTTCTTATAAACGATGATTAACTGAAAAATGAATGATTCAAATCATGTGATAACATTGTGAAGTAAAGTCAAATAGATATTTTACCCCTTTGTATTTGAATGGTCGTGTAGTTTAGATATCCAAATAAATAATTCCTGGTCCACTCCCATCAACAATACAATAAATTAGTCAAAACTTCAAATACAGCTGTTATACTATATGCATGCTGAAACACCAGAATAGTCCAAAACGTTTGTCAGCACCAACGGGAGACTTGGACCATTTAGTTGGCCTGAAATTTCCATAAAGTCTTTGGGCATTTCCACAATGCTTTTCCAACCCAGTCAACTACTTCATTCCAACCCATTCAAGTGAGGAAGCAATATTTTCCGCATTAATTTGATGAAATGAATTATATATCGATATCATTAAAATGACTCCCACATTTAATTATCATATGATAAAACTTCTTACTTTTTAATTTTGATTTAAATTATAAAAGATGATAACAGCAAAGTAATTTATAAAAAAAAGGATTGAACTTATTGTTGGACTTTTGATTTAAAACACAGGATTGAATGATTGTGAATTATTTCATATTTTTTAGACCTTGGCAGAAGATACCAAGTAAGTGCTCAAAACTATTGATTAATATTCAAACACAGTTGTTATGAGAGGTACTTGTTCACATTCTGAGACACCCCAAGGAAATTCCCTTTCCGTTGAAACTTGTAATTTGTAAATTGGGGCCATATGCATGGTCTTCCTACATGGACCCAACAAGAAAATAGAAAGCACAAGTTTGTTCATAAAACGTGTAAATTGGGGGCCTATTGTGTAATGTGTTTTCACTCCCACTAGAATTGAACTCAACAAAAATCAACAGAACTTTGTATGTAAAGCGTTTAAGAGGGGGTTCACTATGCTGCCACTCCCATGTGCCCTTTTCTTTCTTCAGTCTGTGAATGCTTGAATTTTTGTCCACCGACACTGCTTGGCTAATTATTTCACTTATTTTTTTACCATCTTTGATTATTGGGGAAGACTTTGACCATATACTCATGTTATGTGGTTCTCATGAAGTTTCAGAGCAAGTCCACCCTTGCTTCAAAACCGGGCAAAAGGCAGCCCAGGGGGGAAGGAAGCAGCTCCAGCGCGCAAGGGCCAGCCCTGGCAAGAGCAGGGTCCCACGAGCCCAGGCAAGCCCATTGGCAAATTCAGCCCAAGCTGCTGCCTGGGCAGAATGATGCAATGTTGACGTCAGCAACCAAAAAAAAAAGAAAAAAAGGACCAAAAATTCCAGAATTTTTTTAAATAAATACATAAGCATATTCTTTACTTCCCACACCAAAAACTCTATACAAATTCATCTCCTCATATCTCATGTGAATAGTATTTGCCCTTGACCTTGCCCTAGCCTTTTGGGGTGGAACCAAAAAAGGCAAGGCTGCCACTATTCACGTGAATAGTGGCAG